TCCAATAAGAATGAAGTCCTTGACAACTTCAATCTTTTCTCCATTGATAAGAATGTTGTTTATTGGTCCAGTGGTGAGGATTTTTGTTTTCTTGATATTGAGATGCAATCCATACATCACCATCATCCTATACTAAGAATAACACATTTAATACCTATTTTTTTCTTAATGTATACTGTTAAACAGTTATAGAGATCTACAACTGGCCAAATTGACAAATTATCTTTCATTTCCTTAAAATAATGATCTCCTGGCTAGGCAGGCTACACAGAAAAGACATGATAAATTTACTAAGGAAAAGAAAATTAGGCACACAACCTTTAAAGTTTATTTTCTAGCTCCAACAAAAATGATTTAGCAAATTGTAAAAAGAGCAGAGGGACTAGAAACACCCACATGTGTCTGCACATGTGTTGTTCATGCAATATATACAGTGTACATTGCCAACTGGACCAAATAGGCTGCAATTCCTTCAAAAATTCTAGAAATCCCATAAACTATAGGAATGGAATTGTCTCAGGAGAAATGAGCACAGCAATCAAAAAGTTCAAAGTAGAGGATGCGCATTAGAGAATTACGGACTCATACAGGATTTTTTAAAGTAAAATTTCAGAAAAAAGTTATGTTCTATTATAAATTAAATTAAAAAAAAATAGTAATGGAGCAAGTGTTATACTTGATTAAAAAAGCCGTGATAGTTTTCCTCACTGAGTATAAAGTCTGGTATGGAAGTTAAACAGTGAGCATCACCAAATTAGTCCAAGTGATAAGGGAGAGATTACTTGGGAAATACTATCTCAAAGACATGATATTTGAGCTGAGATTGAAGTGTTGTTGTTGTTGTTAAGTGCTGTCAAGTCGGTTCCAACCCATAGAGGGTTTCTAAGGAGAGACTGGTGAGCTTGAACCACCAACCTTGCAGTTCAAACTGACTTTGCAGTCTAGTGCATTAACCCACAGGGCCACACCAGGACTCCAAGATTAAAGCAGTGCCTAAGAAACTAGGCAGAGCTAAGAGGAAGATGACAAACTACATTTGCATGTGAAATGCTAGGAGGAAGTCTGGCTAGTTTGAAGACTTTTAAGAAATATGAGGGAAGACTAACAATAACCTAAGATATACAGATAGCACAATCTTGCCTGTTAAGTGTGAGGAGCTTTATGTTTAAGTGAAATCCAGACTTTAGTTTGAATTACACTTCAACATAAAGGAAATAAAATTATCACAACTGAACCAATAAAAAGAGAAAGCAATGAAATTGTCAAGAATTTCATTTTAAGTCCACAGTCTATGTCTATGGAAAGAAATCAAATGACAGGACATTGGGGCAAGATGGCAGACTAAGCAGAAATGTTGAGTAGACTCATTGCAACAAGGATACAGGAGACAAAATGAAACAGATACAGATAATGATCCTGGAAGCCTGAGTTTCCAAGCCTGAGTGCTAACTGGAAGAGGAAGCAGAATAGGAGCAACAAGAGAGAAGAAAAACAGGCAGCTGGTTTAGAGAGGCATGGCCATTTTGAGTTTGTGCAAGAGGCTGTTGACTTTGTGGCCTGGAGGCACAGGACAGTGCTGGAGTTTGGCAACAAGAGGGGGTGTGATTCTGTCTTGTTCTCTTTACCCTTCTGGTAGCTGGAGGAATAGCCAGTCCCATTACCAGCCCAACTGGCAATTTTTCACTGTATTGGGCATACTACTAAAAAATAGCAATGATTGTGAGGTTAGCCCAGGACTAGGCAGTGTTTCATTCTGTTGAGCATGGGGTCACT